AAAAAGAAAAGGACGTACTGATGGTTCAAGACTCCGTCTGCACCCAAAAAAAAAAAAAGAAAAAAAAAAGAAAAGGAAGCACTGATGGTTCAAGACTCACTTCCTTGGCAAGGCTGCCAGGATCCCAAACTGCAAGCAAAGCGGTCAATTGATCGAATCCAACGATCGGGATTATCCGACAGCGTCATCAATTGCACATCATGGTCACATTCATGAGGAGAAAGAGAGTGTGAACGGACAGAGCATTCATCAATCGAGCCATGGCATGGTGGGAATCCTTTGTGAGGATGCCAACCAACAGTCAAGCTGCCATTCTGAGATATCTGAAGATATGGGTAAGATCATCACCACCCAAAAAAAGAAAGATCAAAGGTGCACCAGCTTACCCCTAAATCCTAGTCGGTCGGTCGGTCGGTCGGTCGGGAGAGAGAGAGAGAGAGAGAGAGAGAGAGAGAGAGAGAGAGAGAGAGAGAGAGAGAGAGAGAGGCAGAGGGGGGAACAGTGGCAGTGCTAGTGGTGGTGGCAATCATTAGGGAAACCGAGATGGAGGAGGGGGATGCTCATTGATGATACACCTTTCGAGTTTCACGACTACGGCTTCCTGTGGTAAGGCCTAGAGCCAAAGTCGGAGGAGGAAGAAGCGCCTCCAGTCTGCCGATAGACATCTGAGGAGGGTGTGTGCAGCTTGAAATCCAGCGTCATTCGTTTCGCAATCTCGATCGTCGCAGCTCCCATGTGTCGGTTGTCGACAAACTCGCTTGGCTGGTCGCGCAAATCGATGTCCTCCCCATCATTCCTGTCATCTTCGCTCTCATTGTACCATGCACGGAACTCGTCGAAACTGTTGGCCAATCAAAGTCAAACCAACCACCATTCCGAAAAAATAAAATAAAAAAAAATCAAATCAACCACCATCAGCGGCAGGCTGGCAACCTCTTGCCAGAGGAATCCTCTCCCTTAAAGAACACAACGGTACACAATTGCAATCGAGATCCAGGGACAAAAATACCTTTCTTTTTTTCCCTTTTCTTTTCGGGGGGGGCGGGGGGGGGAGGGGGCTGTGTGATGTAATGAACCTGATCTTGACGAGAAGCCAATCAACCCCCTCAAACAAGTCTGAACTCGGCGCGCAATATAATGTCTCCAATCGCGAACTGTGTAGCGATCCGTACGGCACCATATACACGTACGGCTGTACGAACCCGTACTCGTACGCTACTCGTAATGAAGGGGTGGGGTCCCGTACACAGCGTACAGTTTTTTTTTTTTTGGGGGGTGTCAGGGTGTTGGATAGTATCCATGCGCCCTGTATATACCTGAAATCAGCGAAAAAAGCGAAAAAAGCGAAGTTACAAGGCCGATTTCATGTATACACGGTGTGTGGCTTCGAACACCCTGTCCACCATTTTTTAACGGCTATATCTAATCTATTCATCAACTGGATATAGGCCCTGAATAATTAAGGAAAAGAAAAAGCACAAAAATGTGTGGGCACGGGTGTGTTCTGTTTGCGTCGTGTGTGTCAGTGTGTGTGTGTGTGTTTGATGGTTTCCTTCCCATCACACACACACACACACACACACACACACACACACAGGCATATTGTTGGTGCAGTGGATGTTTCCTTTTTTCAAGTTTTTTTTAATTACCCTTTGTCTGTTTCTATTTTTTTCTCGTATTTTAATAAGAATTTGGGGTCGGTGCTCAGACAGATATTGTTCGTCTGCCAATTTTACATAACGTTTTTTTTCAGAAACTTTTTTTTTCCCGGTACTTTGTACGTACAGAACGTACGTGGCCACGTACCGGCTTACATACGTAAAATATGTGTACATTATGTACAGAAAAGCCCCGTACGTGTACGCGTGAGCTTCCCCTCAACCGCTCGCCTCGATCTCACAGATAAGGATCCTCCTCCTCCTTCTCGCCCCTTGGGCCACAAGTGGTTGAGCGGCAAAAATGGAAAATGCAACGAATCCGCGCAAGACTTTTATCGCATTCTATGATTCTAAACTGGTTTTTTTTTTTGTTGGTGATATTTTTCCTGGATAGATCGCAACCGAATCTATAGGATCTCCAATTTTCAGATTTGTTTGTGAATTCTTCGGAGCATGAATAATCACCAAAGTTGGCGCTTGAAAATTGGGGGACTGGACCCACCTGTGCCTACCAGTCGCCGCCCCGGCCCCCCTAAGAACCCGGTCCGCAGGGCTAGGAAAGCCGAATTTACGCCGTCGGGGGGAGTGGTGGTTTAAACTACCAGTTAATCCAGCTGTCGGCCACGGGCCCTTTTCGGAGGCCGCCCGCCACCGATTCAATTTATCTATGGCTCTGCGCCTCCGAAATTTTCATAGGCGACGCTGATTTTGTTTTCAGCAAGGCTGGGGCCATGTACTGGTGGTTTAATAGGTTCTACGGTTTCAAAAAAGTTGAAAAAACTCTAATGTTGTCGAGAAGTGTAGTTTTTAAGCCAGGATTTTTTTTATTTTATTTTTTTAAAAGAAGGCAAATTCTTTAAGCCCAACCAACTCAATTACCTGTCAAATGTGGAGACAGTCACAGCCTTTCAGGCCTTTTTTATTGTCATCAGTATAGTATTACGGAGAACCCTGTAGCAGCCACATCCGTGCTCAAGCCTCCAAGGAGGGAACATGCCGGAGCTGCACCCACCAGCGGGTGGGCGATACCAGCCAGGGGTCAGCGGGTAGCATCAGGACCAAGCTTCTTCCATGGGCCAGTCACTGTGCCTCCCCTCCGATCGCCTCCCCCTATGAGCATCAGCAGTCTCTGCTCATTGCCATTCGAGGGGACCAAGGGCATATCTCTAGGTGGCAGGCGCCAAGCTTGCCCAGGAAGGAAGGTACATGAGGCCAATGGGGATTGAACCCAAGACCTCCTGAATGCCACTTGCATGCCTTACCAACTTAGAGTCGACTCACTTTTGAAAAA